TACCTCGGACCCTCGAATCGATAATATTGGGAAGTACCTTCAAAGCCTCGCTTCAACCGTGTCCACCCTTCATGAAACGGTTAAGGGCGTACCTTCAATCCAAGCTTCTCTCAAGTGCCTTAAGACACAAATGGGGCAACTCGGGATGTCTATCGGTTAAATGCAAAGAAACAACAAGAAGGATCTTCTCCCGAGCCAAACCGAGCAAGCCCAAGCCATGACGGTCTTACGAAGTGGTAAAGTGGTGGATAATCGAGTTGAGATGCCTAGTGATGTGATGGTTGAGGATGTTGATGACAAGGATAATGAGGAGGAGTTGAATGTTATGACGGATTCCGGGAAGAAAAATAAGGTGATGATCGAGGAGGAACCGAAGGAGAAATCCAAACCCAATAGCCTTGATACTTTGCACAAGTCGGCTACCCCATACCGCCCACCGGTTCCTTACCCGAGTAGACTCGAAGACACCAAGAGGAATCGACAATTCAAAGACCTATTCGACATGCTTTCCAAGGTAAATGTGAACCTTCCTCTACTTGATGTGATAAACAATGTTCCGGCCTATGTTCAATTCTGTAAGGATTTGGCCTCGAAGAAAAGGAGGTTTGAGGATAATGAAAAGGTGATGATCTCCGAAGTCGCTTCCACCATGATTCCAAGGAAAGAATGTGACCCCGGGGGTTTTGTGATCAAGATAACCCTCGGAAACGGGAAAGAGACGAATGGAATGCTTGATTTGGGAGACAGGATCAACCTTATGCCATACTCGATCTTTAAACAATTGGAGTTGGGAGATCTCAAGCCTACGAGGATATGTTTGCAATTGGCGGATCGTACACTACGTTATCCGAAGGGTGTTATTGAGGATATTTTAATCCGAGTTGGAAATTTGATTGTCCCGGCGGATTTCGTGGTACTTGATGTGGGAGAGGTCCTAAGTACCGGGAATGAGCACACCATCTTGCTTGGCCGCCCGTTTATGGCCACTACCAACACTCTCATCAATGTCAAAGATGGGCGAGTCACCTTATCGGCTCTCGGTGAAACGGTCACTTTTACAATGAGCGAGGCAAAGACAACACCGTCGTTCACCGAGAGTTGCTCATATGTAGATGTGATTGAGGCGGAGGTCTACAACCTTTTTCCATTCCGATGTCTTTTGCGAGTGTGGAGTTCCCGACGGAGAGGAGTCGGAGAAGCTTGATCCCGAAGAAGAAGGTGTGGTGGATCTTATTGAGATATCCAAAGAACCCGAACCCCAGGAAATTTCGACCAAGCTTTAACCGTTACCATCACACCTCAAGTATGTTTTTCTTGAAGAAAATGAGAAGAAGCCCGCCATCATATACTCGGGACTTTCGAGCGAGAAGGAGAAATTACATGTGGATGTCCTCATGGCGAACAAGGATGCTCTCGGGTGTAGTTTGAGTGATATCAAGGGGATAAGCCCGACCACATGTATGCATCGAATTATTCTTGAGGATGAGTCAAAGCCTATCCGGGAGGGTCAAAGGCGATTGAATCCTACGTTGATGGAGGTGGTAAAAGGGAGATTCTTAAATTTCTACAAGAGGGGATCATCTATGCCGTGGCGGTTAGTGAGTGGGTGAGCCCCGTGCACGTGGTCCCGAAGAAGAGTGGAATCACGGTTGTGGAGAACAACAAGGGGGAGCTTGTAGCGACGAGAGCGACTACGGGGTGGCGCATGTGTATCGATTTCAGAAAGCTCAATGCCGCCACAAGGAAGGACCATTTCCCTTTTCCGTTTATTGATCAACTTCTCGATAAGCTAGCCGGCCACCCCTACTATTGTTTCCTAGATGGATTATCGGGGTACTACCAAATCCCGATTGCCCCAGAGGATCAACCAAAGACCACCTTCATATGCACGTTTGGCACTTTTGCCTTCCGGAGGATGCCCTTTGGGCTTTGCAACGCTCCCGCCACTTTTCAAAGGTGCATGTTTTCTATCTTTTCGGATATGATAGGGGAATTTATTGAGATATTTATGGACGATTTTCCCTTTTTGGTGATTCATTTCTTGATTGTCTTGATAAATTGAGCAAGGTGTTGAATAGATGCATTGAGATAACTTAACTCTTAGTTGGGAAAAATCGCATTTCATGGTGCCTAGTGGTAATGTGCTTGGTCATGTCATTTCATCTAAAAAAATTGAGGTCGATAAAGCTAAAGTTGATGTGATTGAGCAACTTCCACCCCCTTTGAATGTTAAAGGTGTTCGTAGTTTTCTTGGTCATGCCGGTTTTTTACCGGAGGTTTATCAAAGATTTTTCGAAATTAGCCCGACCATTGTGCGCCTTGCTTGCTCTTGACGTGCCTTTTGATTTTAATGATGAGTGCTTACGTGCCTTTAATGAATTGAAACAAAAGTTAGTCACGGCACCAATTGTGATGCCCCCGAATTGGTCCCTACCTTTTGAAATTATGTGTGATGCTTCAAACTATGCGGTAGGGGCCGTTTTGGGGCAAAAGGTCGATAAACGGCATCACGTGATTACATACGCTAGCATGACATTAAATGATTCTCAAATCAATTACACCACGACCGAGAAAGAATTTTTAGCCATTGTCTTTGCCTTAGAAAAATTTCGTGCATATGTGGTTGGGTATAATATTGTGGTATATAGTGATCATGCGGCATTAAGGCATTTGTTAGCTAAAGCTCAATCAAAATCGAGGTTGATTCGTTGGGTGTTATTATTGCAAGAATTTGATGTGGAAATCTTAGATAGGAAAGGGTGTGAAAACGTTGTTGCCGATCATTTATCTCGCCATACATTGCTTTCGAGTTCTTGTGATTTGCCCAATCTTGATGATTCATGCTTTTCTTGTTGATTATGTGCCTTGGTATGCCGATATTGCTAATTACTTGGCTAGTGGTATTTTGAATGATGACTTATCCTTCCAAGAAATGAAGAGATTTATTTCAAAGTGTAGGTACTTTCTTTGGGAGGATCCGTACCTTTTCCATCTCGGGAAGGACGAGGTCATTAGGCGGTGTGTAACCAAGAAGGAACAACACGATATCTTGACCGCTTGCCACTCGTCTAATTGTGGTGGCCATTTCGGTGGCCGGAAAACGACATTCAAGGTGTTTCAAAGTGGATTCTATTGGCCCACGATCTTCAAAGACGCCCACGCCTTCTCGATTTCTTGCGATCGATGTCAACGCTCGCGGAATATTGGGAGGAGGAATGAGATGCCCCTTAACACGTTTCTTCCGGTTGAAATCTTTGACGTTTGGGGGATAGACTTCATGGGACCCTTCCCGAGTTCCCATGGGTTTGAGTATATTTTGGTGGGTGTTGAATATGTCTCGAAGTGGGTAGAAGCGATTCCGGCTAGAACTTGTGACGGCAAGGTAGTAGTGAAATTCGTGCAAGACCATATCATCAACCGTTTCGGTTTCCCTCGAGCTATCATTAGCGATGGAGGTTCTCACTTTTGCAACCGGATTTTCAAGAAGCTTATGGGGGAAAATGAGATCGCCCACAAGGTTGCTACGCCTTATCATCCACAAACCTCCGGGCAAGTCGAAACGAGTAACAAGCAAATCAAAGCCATCCTAGAGCGACCCGTGAATGCCTCTCGACGTGATTGGTCTCAAAACCTCAGAGATGCATTGTGGGCACATCGCACGGCCTACAAGGGTGTTCTAGGTGTGAGTCCCTTTCGTTTGGTGTATGGAAAAGCTTGCCACTTGCTGGTGGAAGTCGAGCACAAAGCCTATTGGGCTATCCGGACTATTAATTTCGAGCTCGGCTTAGCCGGGAAGGAGCGACATTGCAAATCGACGAGTTGGATGAGTTGCGAAATGGGTCGTATGAGAATGCCCAGATTTACAAAGACAAAGTCAAGAGGTGGCATGATTCGAAGATTCTAAGGAAGGAGCTCACGCCCGGGATGAAGGTACTTCTTTTTAACTCGAGACTTCGTTTATTTCCTGGCAAATTGAATTCAAGGTGGAGTGGCCCATTCGAAATTGAAGAGGTGTTTCCAACCAGAGTAGTTAAACTTTTTAACACAACCGATAAGACATCTTTTCAAGTGAATGGGCACCGGGTGAAACCGTATCTCGAGGGTGAAGCTAAGGAAATTCGAGTGCTCTTTTCCTGGCTCGCGGAGCCAAATTATTTTTGAATTGATGGATACGTCGAGCTCACGACATAAAACCGAGCGCTTCGTGGGAGGCAACCCACACGTTTTTCTTTTCCTTCATTCTTTTCCTTTGTTCCAAAAAAAAATAAAAAAATAAAAAAAATAAATAAAAAAGAAAACAAGAGCTCGTGCCGACCTGCTTGGCAATACCGACTTGTTAGAGCCGAGCCAAACAAAAAAAAATGAGTGAAATCGAGTTTTTATTGTGTTTATGAGTTGAGTGTGATTGTTGAGTGAAAATTATCAAAATATGCCTAAGTGTTGAAATCCCATAAATTAGAGGGCTCGAAATCCATTTTCGCTAGCTATGGCATTTTCGCTAGGTACAATTTTTGGACAGCAGCTAAAATTCGAGGGCTCTAAAATCAATTTCGCTGGTTTGGAAAAATTCGCAAGACAGAGTACCTGGACAGAGCAAATAATTCGAGGGCTTGAAAGTGAAGTTCGCAGGATAGCTAATTTTGCAGGATATTAAAGCTGCGGTCAACTTTGGTCAAAACCTTATCTTCAATTTTCCCTAAGCTCGTTTCTCTCTCTCTCTTCCCCAAGGAACCCGCAACTC